GAGAGAGAAGAGAGAGAGAGAGAGAGAGAGAGAGAGAGAGAGAGAGAAGATATATGGTTTGGAGAGAAGAGAGAAAGAGAGGATATGGGTTTTTACTTTGGGAGAGAGAGTGTGTGGGTAAAGAGAGAGAGTCACGTGACTCCAAAAGGAGGAGAAGAGAAAAGGTAAGGGCATTTTTATCTTAAATTATTGACTTTTTTATTTCGAGGTGTAAATATAAGGAAAAATAGCATTCGGGTTTAGGGTGGGATACAAAAAGTTTTGGGAGGTAGGATGTCTAGAAAGTTGAATTTGGGGGGGTATTTATAATTTTCCCATGTTTTTATTGGTAAGTGTGACACAAGGCATATCTAGGAGGTCACCCCATTGTACAGTTTGGGTTCTCGCCTTGTGTCACCCTATTATCTGGACTTGAGTTTCAGTAATTAAATACCATCCTAGTGTCACCCCAGTTTTAACTTTCCGTAAGTAAATGATAGAAGAATTGGAAGATATCATCAATCAAGCTTTCCGGTTAACAGTGGAACACGCAATATGTAGGACATAAATCCAGGGTTCGAACCTCCGTCATGCAAGCCAAGCAGAACACACCAAAAAAGAAGACAAGAAAGAAGAAACATGTGAATGGAAATAATTACTGGAGCCCAAGTTGCTGCTAAAGTTTTAAAATAGATTTTCCTTACTAATAGTATAAAATAGATAGTGATGGTCCTTTGATTTAATTGAACTCTTCAAAAGCATTGTCATCTTACAGAAGCCTTAGCCTCATCCATTAACCTCAGCACTCCAGGCCTTGGCTCAACCTGATAGCCACAAAAGGCATTAAAAAAAAATACAATAACTGTAATTGCAAAGAATTTGCTTGGAGAAACTTTTCATTAATAATAAAACAAAGCAATAGAACAAATAAAAACGGTCCTTACCATTCCCGATCTTATAATGTCCTTGTATTTCTCAGTTTTCCAATCCTAGAGAAGCAACAAAAGCAACAGTTTAACTTAAATCACAACTAATTGAGAGGAGAAAATAAATAAACATAGGACCTAATTTATATATACAATAAACACATGAGAAAAATTGAGCAACAGGGACAAAAAATACATGCCAAATTCAGATATCATAGGTCTTGCATGTTCATCAGATATCATACGTCAACATGTTTTTCTCTTCTTTTTTGCTGGGTACAAAGAGTAAACAGGTTTCTTCAGGGAATTTAAGGATATTACATAGGAAAACATCATCAGCATTTCCAACTCTCCTAAAAACAATCTAGTAACAAAAGTTCCCATGTTTGCTAGTAATAGCACAGCCAATAATACAGATTTAATTGACAGTAGGAACCAAATCAATAGTAATCGCTATGATGCAAATCAAGAGATGGCTGATTAAATTTTACTTTTAGAGATGGCCTTTAATAGAGCATAATGGAGAATGGAGAACCACGATTCATGTAGCCGACTCCAATTAATTGGAAAAAGGCTAAAATGATGATGATGATGCCGTTGTATATTTTTTATTTTTTTATTAGCAGCCAATTTGGGAGAGGCAATGTAGGGGGGATAAATTGGAAGTGAATGAGAGGCCAAGGCGAATTTTAATTAATGTTATGGATTAGAGCATTATTTTCTTAGTTATTAGGTTTAGCATGAGATTTTCTCTAAGATTTAGATAGTTATTTTGTTTTTTTTTTCTTTTCTCTTAAGATGGAAGTAGATCACGTGTGGTGCTAAAGAGGGCCTATTATGAGGCATAGGAAGTTTATTTTTTATTTAAAGAGGGATATCCACATGGAGGCTTAAATAGAAGGGGACGGATGGTAATGGTCGTTATGTCACTTACGTAAGTTTAAGGGAGAGACATAAAGTACTAAGAACTAGGAGAAGTGGGAAGACGTATACAAATAGAAATGTACATGAGGTAGAGAGAGATAGGATATTTGGATTTTATTTTATTTTATTTTATTGTATTGTATTGTTTTTATTCGTTTAAGAGATTAGCTTATATTAAAGAGGTTGGACGTTCCATTGAGACCTTATGTTATTTTGGACCCAAATTTGTTTTATAAAAGTAGAAAGTTCTTCTCTGGGCTTGATTTGCAGCCATGCTTCTTTTCTTTTATTGCTGATTTTTGCTTGTTTGATAATCAGAAAGAGGGTGGATTTCATTTCACGCCTTCTTTTTTTTCTACATTACTTGGTATTAGAGCACGTTCAAAGATGATTAGAGATTGTGATGGATGATCGAGGTATTGGTTATAAGAATGCCAATCTAATCCGACTATGCAAGAAAATCAACAACTTGACAAAGAGGGTTGCACAGCTATTACACAAGTGAGATTAGCAACAATGAGCCTCGAACGAAGAGGAATCCATAGGGATGAATCCAAATCGTCATAGTTTTCATGGAGATCGGAGTGAATTAGAGCCTGAGTATGAGTGGGGAAGGAATGATGATGTGTCAAACTACATAGATGGGTTAGACATGCGATGGCATTGATGGGAGAATAATTTTGAAGAAGAACAAAAAGGATACAATTTAGTAATAATAGGAGTAGAAATGAAGAAGTAGTTAAGATTGATGATCAAGAAATATCTAAAAAACAGTATTTTCGATATTTTGGATAAATAACTTATGAAAATTGAGAGATTGAGGAAGATATCACTAGTAGAATTAGAGTTGGGTAGACAAAGTGGAGATTTGCAACTAGAGTTTTATGTGATCGCTACATACCAATGAAGCTAAAGAAGAAGTTCTATAAGACAACGGCGAGACCAGCTTTGCTTTATGGGACAAAATGTTGGGCGGTCAAGAAACAACATACACATAGGATGAGTGTAGTAAAGATGAGAATGTTGAGATGGATGAATGGCAAGACAAAAAAGGATAGAATTGAGAATGAATGTATTCAAAGAAACTTAGGGGTGGCTCCAATCAATGTTTTAAAATCCAGCTGCAGCATGTGGGATGCGCTGGCAACAGCATCGCTAAACAACGCATATGCGCTTTGGTGGAATGCACCGCATATGCACCAGTCCCACTGCATATGCGGCTGCATAGCCGCATAGAGCGCATATGCGCCCTGCGTGCGAGATGGAAAAACCTTATCGACAAACGACTTGCTTTTCACATGTAACATTCAATTTCCAAAATAACACAAAATTCAATATTAGAAAAGGGAAAAGTTTATATAGAGCCGAGGCTCTAAACAATCAAATTTAAGCCTACCTCAAAAATTTGACTAGAAAATATTGTTTTGATGCCCAAATATCCTCAAATTCATCATCTCAATATCAAGATGCATGGACATGATAAAAAAAAAGATTTCAAGTTTTGGAAATAATGTATTTTGTAATGCACTTTTGGACCGTCAGATTTCAAGATTTTCACGTTTTCATAGATCTCTCGATGTACATTATTTTTTAAGCCTTAAACTTTATAAATAAAGATGGAAATATATTTTAAGGCTATCAAAAAGATTTCCGGTATTGAAACCATATTTCTCGACATTATTTAAAGGTAGGCTCTAATTTGATTGTTTAGAGCCTAGGCTCTATACAAACCACAACCATTAGAACAAGTCCCCATTAAAACAAACTACACAATGACCAAAATGCCCTACTATAGCACGTCATATCCACGTGGGGCTGACATGGAGGTCCCCATGGCCCACGCGGACACCCATTGGCCATTTGAGTGTCCCATGAGGGTCCCAGGGGTCTGTCCGTGATCATCATTTCATGAAAACAATTCTAGAAAGCTCATTTTCTAGCTCAAAAAATCCAAAACAATGTCCAAAACTTCACAAAAAACCTTTTAATCATTTTCCATCAAATTAATCATTTTAACACTGTTTAAAAATATTTCCAATGGGAGGAGTACTCCACTTGGCTAGACTTAGAATCTAAAGGTACTTTATCGGTATGACCCAACAAACTCATGGCCCGCAGTGTATAATCAGGAGTCCATAATATAGGTTATCAAAGTCATATTGCTTTTTCACTCCCACTGAAGTCAAGAGCCATTCAATGTCAGAATTTTAAGGCCTTCAAAGGACATAATTCCAACAGCTTTGATAAGCGATAAAATGAGGGAAAGTAGACTTTGGTGGTTTGGCCATATACAACTTCAACTTAGAACAATACCAATTAGGAAGGACAATTTGGTTCAAGTGGAAGGCTCTAAAAGGGCAAGGGGAATGATCAAAAGGACATGGATGGAAAAAATAAGAAGAGATATGATGACTTACAGTCAGACTAAGGGTATGGCCATTGATGGAGCAGAATCGCGAAATATGATTTATGTAGAAGATGTGAGATACTTGGGATAAGGCTCGGATGATAATGATGATCCAAGAGTTTAAAAAGAGCACAAAATTTCATATGATCCAAGAGTTTAAAACGAGCAAAAAATTTCCTCCAACGTTAGAAGAAGTAGCCATTAGTGTCATGACCCTCCACTCAGAGAGGCAGAATTTCCTAATATGCCAAAGAGGGTCATCATGGCACATCTAGTGTCGCAACATTGAACTTTCAAAACTTTTAATAGTTAAGGGCAATGAGGAATCATTTTGTCGCATACATCTTCAAGGAGATTTCACCAAAATCATTAACAGCCTCTTTGAGAATGCCGTGGTGATGGAAGACTACATTTTCTAGGCAAAGGTCTTCAAATGTTGGTCAGGAGAAGAAGATCTTAATATGAGACATTGTCTCTTCACTTGGATGATCATTTAGAGAATATGGGAGGTACATACATAAGGAGTCAAAAGGAAGCAAAAAGTGAAGATGACTGGGTTACTAAACATGTTGATGTGCTACAAGATGTGACGTTCCATTTATTACAATCCCAAGTAATTCGGGAGTATGAATGAGGGGCGTCCATTTTTACAACTACGACAGAGATATTTAAAGTCAGCCAGCTCTCACATGGCTTTACCAATAGTGAATTGTAAATTTTTCCCAAAAGGAACTGTGGAGTTGCAAGTGAGAAGCAATTAGTGCTTCACATTGCCAGTTGGTTGTGAAATGAATGAGATGAACCCCATTCAGGAGAAACAAGATGATGGATGACATGACAAGAATTTCTAACAATCACAATCCCAAGGAGAAATTATCAACAGCATCCAAGTATGGTTACATTAAATTATATGTTGGTAATGACAGGAGACATTTAGCCCAACTTGCTATTGTGTGGCTTCTTAACACGACAAGGAGCTAGCTTTGCAGCAGTGGAAATCATAGTAGACGAGGTAAAACTACAGAAGATGAAACTTTGCTAGATAGTAGGTAGGGGTAAAACTAAAACTGAGAAGCTGAAAATTTTTCATTTTGTGTGCATGTAAGGACAAAGGAGATTCACTCCATTGCAATCCAATTAGTGGAATCTTGGCCTTCGAACAAAGTACAATCTCAAACAAAAAAAGTACCGTCATATGTAGGAAGGCCAAACAGTTGTAGAGATTCATACTATGCAGACATTCTAATCATCTTTGTATTTAGGGAAATTTACGTATGGACCAGGTTTTTGTCCCGTTATAACAAAATGGCCCAAAACTAAGTCCTTATTACTTGAAAGTACAGATCTCTATATTTTTTTATTTTTTTTCAAGTTTGCCACCAGTCCGATGTTCGAAGGTCCGATTTTTCAAACATCGGACTGCTCTCTTTTAATGGCTTCTTGATCACATAGCCATGCAAAAATGCCTAGCCCCACTGTGAGAGAGACCTCTGAAATTGCTCAATTAGACCTGAGAAGAAGTTTCAATCAAGAGGATCACCTCTCTCTCTTTCTCTCTCTCTAAACGCAAAAAAAAATTAATATATATATATATATATATAAAATAAAATCAAAAACTAGCAATGACTGACACATCAGGACAGAGGAATCGCCATCTTTCTCTCTCTAAGTTGGCTAAATTTTGTACTCTCTCTGTTTTCGCTTGTGAAACTCCCATCAAGGAAAATAGGGTCTTTAAGTGCAAAAGAACCAGAGCTCTGAAGCTCAAAGCATCATCCCAGCAATCGCACCAGAAAACCCTAATCCTAGAACTTTGTTCAAGACACCAAAGGTCGAAGAATGGATAAACCCTTTTAATGGCGAAAAGGAGAAAACCATGATTGAATCCCTGGACCATTTTGTTATAACGGGACAAAAACCCCGTCAGTACGTAAATTTCCCACTAGAGCCTTAATCATCGTCTAAGGGCTTCTTTTTAGGTTCACAAAGAAATTAAGTTGTTGTTTTCTTTGCCATTCATATCAGTGTGAATGTCAATGCAAGCAATTAGAAAAACTGTTGATCTTTAAATATTAAAAGAAACAGAGAAAAACTAAATAGGATCGAATCAAATTTGAGTATTAAATGGGCAGAAAAATCACTTGGAAGTTGCATTATACTTGAACACTCTGTTCCAAATCTAAGAGGTGCATTGTAAACTATAAATTGGATTTTCACATTAGCCAAGAACAATTAGAAGCACCAGAATCAAATCAAGCATTAAAACTCTAAAAAATCTCCTCGTCGATAACAAAAAAATGTAAATAAAATAAATTGCAACAACTCCATGCCGGAACTTGCCTGGAGTGTGTCGATCAGTTTAGCTTCATCAGCATCTTCAACAGGAGGAGTAGCAAACACAGATGAAGAGGGCCATCCATTCTCCTTGAAATACCTATGTAAATCAACATGAGTGGGCATGAATCATTCAAGAGAAGAGAGAGAGAGAGAGAGAGAGAAAGAGAGACCATCTCATTTTGGGCTTGCCCCCTCCAATTCGATTCTGCAGCTCATCGTAAAACTCCGTGTCCCAATACACAGGCTGAGAGGGCGAAGAAGCGCAACGAACATCAAAATGTGCAAATGTTTCATTATAAGCCCTTCTATGAAGATCCTCTGACTCAAGAATCACACCGTCACAATCAAAAATTAGGGCTTTCAAAGCAGGTGACGAAGCCAAAGAAGAAGAAGACACAGCGGGATCAATGGAACGGCACTTTTGTGGAGGAAAGATGCAAGATTTGAAAGAAAGTTGATGCCCATAGAGAGGCGTCTGGAGAGAGAAAGGGGGCACAGGCTTTGGAGAGCCACGAAATGAAGAATGAGAAAGTAGATATCCCGTTGAGACTGGAAGAAGTAAAGCCATGAGAGAGAGAGAGAGAGAGGGTGAGTGAGCACCACAAAAGTTCGAGGACAAGATATACCCGTTGTACCTGTTCTGATTCTACCTTCGATTAATTTATCAACTACCGGCTAAAGCTATTTCAAATGGAAAACGTTTGGCTAATTTACATATAAACCCTGAAACAAAACTTTTTATGTTTGGACTCTCTTTTTTTATGACTTGGGGGTATTTTGCTAAGGACACTTTTTTGAGGTCAAAAGTGAGAAAAGAAAGTTTGATTGGGAGGGACTTTGAGGTTATTTGTAATTTCTCAAGTTTCTATTTGACTTGGATCAAATCATACTTTTGGTAACAGGATATTTCTACAATACCTTTAAAATCAATTTTTAATAATAATAAAATCTAAAACTCAAAAACTGGTATAGATCTTATAAAATTGTGAAAATTTATTTTTAAAGTGAAATGGACAGTTGAAAAAATTTGTTACTAATATATATTATTTTTAAAATTTGAAATCTTAATTTTTTTGCACAAGAACTTTTTCCAACACTTGAGTTCCAATTTGATGACTTATGAGGTGACGATTTACTTTCTCTTAAACCATTTTCCATTTCAAAATATGGGCCGCAAGTGAATTGAGCAGGCGCCTAACGACAAGCAAGCGCTTCAAAAAAAACCGAATGTTTGAAAAGTCGGATAACGGATCCGGATTAGTCATCCAGAAATTTGATATAAATCGGTGGAATTTTTCAAAAAGTTACTATTTTTTTTTTTAAATCCCATTTGTTGGGTTTCCAAAAATAGTGTTATTACATGATAATTTTTATTATTTTATCCGTAAATATTGAGAACCTAGTGTTTTTTTTTTTTTGGTAAATTAGTGAGGAGAAGGCACTTTACCCTTTTTTCATTAATAAAATAAAATAAATTAAATTACATCGTACTATCTTATAACCCTACAATAAGGTAATTGTACCACATCATGAAGTAGATGAAGGTTAAGAAAATCTGGAGGCCTAGAGCGCTAAATGGTGGCCTCTGTAAAAATTGTAGCCTTTTTGTCAAAAACTTCAGCCACCATATTAGCCTCACGGTAAACATGACAAATGGACCATGAATGATTCTCAAGTCTAAACTTGCAATTAACAGCTATGATATGAAGAGCCCATGGAGCTTTACACTTACCTTGTATGACCTAAACAAGTAAAGGAGAATCACTCTCAATTTGCAGGGGGAAACATTCCATTTGAGTGGCTAAATCAACACCCTCTTATAAACCTCGAAATTCTGCATAATTATTTGAAACAATTCCAAGAGGAACCGATAAAACAGTAACGAAAAATCCATCATCCTGTCTCAAGACACCCCCATAACCAGCTTGACCTGGATTCTGAATAGAAGACACATCAATATTAGCTTAAAATGTTGGGAATGTGGAAAAGCCCATACCACTATTATGGGTAACTTGACTATCTGCTGCCGCCACGTAAGTCGTAAGTTCTCAGTAATTGCCTTTTCTGATATGTGGTAAGTCCATGCCTTAGCATCCCCCAAATCACGAACATGGTAGGTGACCTTCGAGTCAGTTTCGCAAGAGTAAGTGTCCTACCTTGAAACATATAGTGGTTCCGCTTCTCCCAAATCATCCATCCATATAGTTGTGCAGAAGAGAGAATGCCAAATGTTGTTAATACCATCAGACTTGAACCTGAATACTAACCATTTCCGCATTGTAGCTGCAATAGAACAACCTGTAATAAAGTGTTTTCCACATTGCCATGCTATCGACCTCCAAATCCCCTATGAGAACCTAGTGTTTGTTGTCTATTGCATTCATTTTATAGTCAAAATAAAATTTAAAATGCAGCTCATTACAATAAAATCGATCTCTCTAACTCATTTTTTTTATTATTATCATTGGTATTGTCTCCAGTGCCACTTTTACTTGTAAAAATAAGGGGGCCTTGCGTCATCATTTCTTATTTTTCAAACAATTAATTTATTCAATTAATTACTTATTTATATTTATATTTATTAATATATTCTCTCTAAAGTTATAATGTATAATTCATCTCTAGAGCTCGACGAAAACAGGGGGGTGGAGAATAGAAAATGACAAAGGGGGCGGGGGGTGGGGGGGGCGTGTGGGAGGGGGGAAAATAAAAAGAAGAAAAACCCAATCCAAGAGAGAGAATGATAGAAAAAAAAAATACTAATTTCGTATTCAAAGAGAAATAGAGTGAAAAAAGAAAACCCAATCTAAGCGAGAGAATGTGTAAGTAAGAGTGACAAAAGAAACACTCAATTCAAAGTGAGTTAAAAAACAAAAAAAACCAATCCAAAATTCGTAACTAACCATTTTCAAGAAAATGTAAATCTATCATATTTGTAACACCTTTCATTTTGTCTGATGTTGCCATTCCCTTGTCAAGGGTTGCATAAGAATTGTTCATGTAACATATTATTGCCTTTTTAATAAAATGCCAATATCCCCACTTAGGATTGTTCATGTAACATATTATTGCCTTTTTAATAAAATGCCAATATCCCCACTGATTCACCCAAAAAAAAAAGAAAAAGTTTATATAAAGATGCAACCTTATAACATAGAACTATGGATGCACCTCAAAAATCCATCAGAAAGGTAGTTTTAATGTTGAAAAACCTTTTGATTGATCATCTCGACATCGAGATGTATGACCATGAAAAATAAAAAGATTTTAAGATTCAGAAATAGTGCATTTTACATTATACCGTCTATTTTCAAGATTTTCATATGTTTATAGATCTACTTGATTTTAACTATTTTTGTAATTTTACAATTAGATATAAAAATAGATTTTGAGATAATCCTAAGAACATTTTATGTCAAAATTATATGCCATGATAAAATTTGAAGGTGCTTCTTACCTCTACAGCTACGGATGCATCCGTATGCCAACTACACTATAAAAAAAAAAAAAGAAGTACCATTGTGGTTGTTGCACAGATGATGCGTTCACTGGATATCACTCATGGAGTCCTATAATAAATACGTCTTTAGTATTTCTTGTAAGCCAAATAATGTCCTTTTGTAATTTTTTGGGTAAGTATATTGTTTTGTAATTTGTCTTTCACATGTTACTTCAACGATGAATCATATCTAGAATTTATATGAAAAATTATTATTATTTTCTTATTAACAGTAGCCATACATAATTAAAAGTGGATCATTAAATTTTTTATCTTAAAAATAATTGCAATCCTCTAGTACAATATGCCCTCAGGGGAACATATTATACAAAATTTTTTAGGAAAATTGTTTCATGGAGCGTGACCATATTTGTAACAGTCATCCTCGAGGTATAAAGCATATATCTTATAGATGAATGCACATCGGTAGTCCACTTAAAAAAAATTGAAATTAATGGTCCAAATATTTTTTTAATAGAATTATTATTTTGAATTTTTAAAACTTATTTGCAAGCTCAAAATATATATTGCAATGGTGGAAAAGACACACAATTTGTTTAGACCTTAGAGAGATGTTGGGGTCTGGATATAATCTCAATGTGGTGAGTTTCAATCTCTATGTGATGAGTTTCACTTGCATGATTTAGTGTTATGGAAGATAAGACCTGATGATAGGAATTAGTGCTCACATTTTTAACAATTCTGTTTTCAGGTGTGCCTTGAGTTTGGTTCGCTTTTTTGATTTTCGCAGTAAAGAGGACAGAAGTCTTGAACTCTTGCTATGCTCAATGAAAAATTTACTTATAACGAATCGGACGTGAAGGTTAGGAGACCTTGCTGCAGTTGTTTGATTGATATTTGTTGCAATTTTGGTCTCACCAAGGGGGCCCATGAATCCCTCTATTTAGGGAACTCTTTTAGGTTGTATTTAGACTTTGATTCGAAAACTGAGATCAAATGGTCTTTGAACTTTTAAGTCCAAGGTTTAGAAAATCGACTCGGCCAAAGTATTTGAGACTGGCTGAGGCGATTTACATGGGAGAGTCCGAGTAACTCACTCAAATCAATTTCATTTTTTTTATAAAAAAAACACGTAAAAGATTTTTACATATATATAACAAGCGCCAGCATTATACGGTGAGTGGCGTCGTGGTTAGCTCTCCGTCTTCAAATTTCTACATGCAATGGGGATCGAATCTCAATAAGGGGGCCGCCATTATCAATATACTTGTGCCATGCATGTTTTTTTCACTATAAAGCAAATGAAGTTACCATGATATATAATAAGGGGGCCACCATTATCAATCTACTTGCGCTAGGCATGTTTTTTTTTCACTTAAAAGCAAATGGACTTACCATGATATATAATAAGGCGGATACATTATCAATCTACTTGTGCAAGGCATGTTGGTTTGCACTCTTAATTTTTAAATACATGTGAGTTCCATTCTCATGGGGGCTACTTTTTTTCTTAACTCTATTTATTTCAATATCTTAGAGGCACTAAATCAATTGATATTTGGAGCAAAAAAATGCAAACTAGTATATGGGTTTTCAAGTTTATTTCAATATCTTAAAAATAATAATAGAGGTACTAAATTAATCGATATAGGAGCAAAAAATACAAACCAGTATAACGCTTTTCAAGTTTATTTCTAGATATTAAAAAAAAACTAACCAGAAAAAAATTTGTTAAGAAATTAGATAGAAATAATAGATTTTGTGATTTTTTTGATAGTTTATCGATATTACCTCTTGCATACACGAAATCAGTGGATTATGGAGAAAAACATTCATGGATCTATAGAGGGCTTTTGAAGCTGATTTCAAAAGCTTCAAAACAAACAAAAAATCAAAAAAAAATTGTTGAGAAATCATAGAGAAATAATAGATTTTTTGGAATTTTTGCAATACATTGATATTATCTCTTTGATGCACGAAATTAGTCGATATTGGAGCAAAAAAACCACGGATCTGTAAAGGGCTTTTGAAGATGATTTCAAAAGCTTCAAAACAAACTAAGGATCAAAAAAAAAAAATTTGTTGATTAATTAGAGATAAATAATAGATTTGGTAATTTTTTGACAGTTTATCGATACTACCTCTTTGATGTATGAAATCAGCCGATAATGGAGAAAAAACACCATGGATCTGTAGA